GAGAAATTGCACGTCATATATCAAAATTTTATTTCGCGGACAGCAAGACAGTTGTTTTAAATGGTTTTGCGATTGGTGATCCCGGTTGAAGAGAAATTTTACATCGATTAAATGGATCAGGATTCGTACGTCAAATTAACATGACATTAATATTAACATTCTAATGAATGGCAGAATTTCTATTATGAATTTCTAAAGTTCTATCGATGATCACGTGTTGTAAAGCTTATACGATTCTAAATTTATACATCAATCAATTCGCTATGATTTCAATTTTTGATCCATCTTCAAATGAAAGAATAAGAAAATATTTTGTAAATTATTTTATTACTTTATCCCGGACGACGTGGAAAAATACGATAGAACATTTAAAAGAAGCATTAGTTGTTTTCAATTAAATCAAATAAAATGAATTTTCATTGTTATTAAAAATATTCTTCAGGATTATTAATAACAATTGATCGTAATTTTTTTTTTACGAATCTCGAACCAATCAAATTTCGTCTAAATGTAAAGCAGTATTTAGAGATTACGTCGCTTACTCGAAAAAATATCTGGAATATTTTTTTTTCCATTGCACGCGAATAACAGCAATAAAACAAGAAGAATCGTGCAATCATCGGTTATATGAGCGTCATTAATTCCTCCGATTTTCATAGCGTGTAAACATGAATAATAGATTTATATTTCGTTGGGACATTCTTTTCATTAATTCTTGGGTATTATCGCGTTTTGACATGTTATTGCTACCCGTTCTCTCATTTCTTGAATCCAAGGTTTCGAAACGTGAATCCCGTCGAAGTATCGAACAGTTAAATCTTTCCAGAACAAAGGAGCGAAAAATAAAAACGGAGATTGTAACATTACGAAAAGAGATTACACTCGCGTTAATCACGAGCTATTATTAGATCCTTCTAAGATTACGTTTGTTCAGGATAAATGGAGTACTTGCACAACGTGTTACATACACGTCATTGTTACAAACTTCTTTTGTGCCTCGAAGACACGGTTTATCAAAGGTTTATTGTCAAGCCTAATGATCGAAAAGCGAGTTAATACGTAGCTTCTATTAGTTATTCTGTCAAATTCTATATTCCTCCGTTCTTCGTATCAAACATCTTCCAAAGTATCTTAATCGTTTCAATTCAAAATCAAAAAATTTCATAAACCACTTTGTTTTGAATTAAAAGAATTTTTAAATGAAACATTCAATTTTCTATTTTGAAACATAAATCATATAAAGAATTCTAAAACTAGAATAACAAAAGTCTGATAATTTTTAATATAGGATAATAAATTTAGAAAAATAAATTAAAGAGTCCACCAATTTCAATTGCTCTAAATTTTCACAAAATCCGTATAGAATCCACGCTCTTCCTTACCAAGAAATAACACGGAATCTTAGATCTTATCGCCACTAAAATCAGAACGAAACGATACAAATATTACCGAATACGTATCTATCGACGACGCATCCTCTAAATACTCTCTAAAAAACCGTCTCGTCCGCGAGGAACCCTTTTGTCGTACCGGCGATATTGGGTTCACGTCAACTCGAGGCTCCTCTTACGACGATGCGTGTGCAAGCAGCCAATTAGCGAGACCGCAAGAGAGCGACTTCTCTCTTTCCCCGTGTCTTCCGCCTCCCCTACTCCCGTCGTACACTTAGGGTCAAACGCTCGTAAACGTCGAGGCGAAACGCTCGAGACTCGACCCAACGCTCGAAAGAAGCCTCTCGTCTCTCGTCCTCCACGTCTGTGAAAAACATATTATGAATTTCCCGGCGACCAATCGGACGACCGGCACGCCGTGACCCCGGATTGTCAACCTTATGCTACCTCCTTGCTCCTTCCACCATCATCCCTGTCCCTCCCCGTCCACGAGAGATTTTCTACATCGTCCTCCTCGTCGCGCTTGCTAACGACTTGACTGGCCAAGCCCACAGGCCACAGGTGTAGTAAACCTCTTTACCTCACGCATTCGCGCGTAATGGCCCCTCTTACACCCGAGCATCTGCCGACCTCGCCGCGTAAGCTACTTCGCCAGCCGTGATCCGTTTCTTCTTCCTCCACCTTCTTCCTTCGTCGACAGGTATTGCTGGATCTCTCTGGTATTCGATATTGTTTCTTTTTTGGGGGGGGGGAGAGGGGGGGGTATTTGAATGGATGTATAAATAGTTTATGGTTTTTTTTTTTTAAGAAGGAACGAGAAGAATTCGAGAAGAATTTCGAGGCGCTGTGAGACAATCGAAAATGAAAATAACGAAGAATTTAATTCTTTATTACTTTTCTCTAAGTAGAATAATTGCGTAGAGTTTTTGAGACTCTTTGAAGTTCTCGTGAACGAATCTGTAAAATATAGAAGAGGTATTAATACTTTTAGTGACGATAATTCGAATCGATATTGAAATTGGTCGAACAATATTTATTATTATTATTATTATTATTATTATTATTATTCGAAGATAAAATTATGACGATTGGAAGAGGGAGTACGTTAAGAATGTTTTATGCAGAATGCGTGTTCTGCGGTCTGAAAAGATGTCGAAAAAAAAGAAAAAAGGACAATGAATAAGGGTTGAAGGCATACACCTGCATATTATTTGTCATAATTATAAATCGCCCATATGCTTGCGTTTGAACGTCAAGTATCCCGTCATATATTGCTGCGGGTTTGTTAGAAACAGTCGGCCAAATCAAAATCAATAATCAGTCTCTCGATCGAGACAATTTATCAGAGCTACTTCTTGTCCGTTTCCAAGAAATTTCCTCCATCGTGATGTAACGTTCTCTTTGATATTTGTGAACCGTAAAAAGATTGTTTATCTCTTTGAAACGCGATAATAATGAATCGCGAAGGTGATAATTGAAGAAGACGCGAAATTGATAATACGTGGAAAAAATGCAAATTCTTATTGAAAAATCACTATCATTCGCAGAAATTTCTTCGCATCTTCTGTTTCTACGTAGAAATATCAACTTATAAATCGAGTTTTCGATTCATCAGGATTTATAGAAGAAAAGAAATATGCGAAATCGTTAATCGATATTTCAATAACTGAACATGTACGTATAATACAGCTACAGCGTCAAAACCCTACGAAATCATTATCATTTTTCTCGATACCTTTGACAAAAATAAACGACCGATATAAAAAATTTCGCACAGCCAAGCAAACAAAATAGCGTAGCGTAGGTGTAGAACAGGAAGACGCAAAAGTGGTTGATTGATCGACATTGCAACAGGTGCGTCGAAACGAGAGAGATTACCGTTTTCGAATAACATTCTACCGCGCTCCTGCCTACCGATTTTTTCTTCTAATTTCGACATTAATAACAGACGGATAGATGTCCGGGGATTTCGAGGGACGGGAGATATACAGCGCGTCTCGTAGACGCGTCGTAAATCTTCTTGGGATAATTTACGTGGGCGCGATGTACGGCGTCACAGGTGTCGTACGGCCTCCTCGTAGGATCTGCATCCACACTGCGCAAATTAACGTAATATAGAAGGAAGATCGAGACAACGTTTCATCCGTGTAACAAATGAAGAACAGATTTCATAAAGAGAGAAAGAAAAGGAGAGAGAGAGAGAGAGAGAGAATTTCTATTCCCTGTAAATTATTTCGAGAAAATCAAAAGGCGCTTATAACCGCTTCGTTCACCGGTTGCTTCTTCCATTCATCCTCGAATGATCCGTCATCGATAAACACTGTAGATATCATCTAGTTATAAAATCTTACCGATATGTACCGCGATAGACTCCAATGGATCCGATCCTGATCTAAAAATCCATCCTGAAAAAGAAAAAAAGAGAGAAGAAGGAATATTCTTTCGCTTGGCAAATTTTACGTAATCGTAGAGAAACGACGAGGGGCACGTACGAGCACGTCATCGTCCGTTGGTTTTCTTTTTTTTTTTTTTTTTTCGCCTCGCGCATAGGGGCCAGAAGCTGGGAAACCTGAATAGTCGGGCCAGGAAACCACTAGAGCTCGTTCGATGGACATCGAGTGGCCTCTCCTCTCTTTCCTTCCCACCTAAATCAACAAGAGAGGATCCCAGCCATTCGAACGTCCGGGGTTACGGGCACGAGTGCTCGTGAATACACGCAGGTGCACGCAGGTGAACACATCGCGGGCTGACTGTCGGCTACGCGAGTTCTCGCCGTGCTACCAAGAAAAGCCGTGGAGACACGCGGAAACTATCACCCTTGCCCGCTCGTTAAAGTCTCCGGGACATCGATCGTTGAAATCTCCTTTTTTCACGGTCCAAGTTGAAGCGGAAGATGAAAAGGAAGCTTATTACCGGACGGTGTAATTTGTAATTTCTCTTGAGACGTAATTCGAAGCGTTTAACTTATTGGTTTCGTTGACGTGTCTCGATTATTTCCAATCGAGAAGAGAAGAAAAGAAGATTAGGAAAAAAAAAAAAAAGGGTAAGTCAAATCGTGGAGGAATCATATGTGATGTATAGCAGAGATCTTAGCTGGCGAAGATCGTAGTTCTTCCTTAGTTCTTCATTGCTTCATAGAGCGTTCATAAATTATCACAGTTTATGATGTATTACGAAGACCATGAAATTTTCTCGATTCCAGACTATTATAACTAGAAATAAACGCTTCGTACAAAGATGTAGTTTCATTCGTGAAATTCGCAAGCGTGTTTCAAGACACGCTTTTTTTTTTTTTTTTCCCTATACATATATATAAATTCTTTCCCTCTTCTTTTTCCTCCTTTCCTTATTCTTTCCTTCTTTTTTTTCCACGAGATTTTATATCATGGTTAAAGTCAAATGTTGGGTCACAACTCGTGTTACGATCGATATACTACATGTGTTTTTAATGAGCATTTATCGCCTCCTATCCACACGATGTCGAGAGAATTGCGAGAAGCTGTCCTCGCGATGCGTCTCGCGCGTTAGAACGGAATTATCCGAGAAAACGTGTTTCTCGTAGTACATCAGCGCGCGGACAAATTTATTACTAAATAAATAACTCGGTAAGATAGCGTGGACGATCCGCGCGCATACGCTCGCCATGAATCCGTGCGCGTTTCGCGGCGACGGTTTGGAATGCGAGAGACGCGCAAAAGACGAAAGTAATCGAATACCATCTCGAGTTCGAGGTACGGGAACGATCGCGTATAAGGGAAACGATGATCGGAGGAAAAATTTCAAAATGAACGACGATCAAATAGGCCAAGTATCGGCTAGTACAATATTCTTTATTTCATCTTCACCAAATACTCGGTGCGTCTGCACGCGTATGCATCCAATTTTTATTTTCCTTTCTTTTATTCTCGAGTCTGCTCTCATCGGTTGCACAACTAGTCGAAACGAAGCTCAAGAAGAATTAAAAAACGTATATATGTAATAATATCCAGCCAAATTTATTCGAGAAACACGAGGGACACGACGCGTGCACACCAACGTATTAGCGAGGCTGACAGACTGACGAATAATTGGATCGCGTTAAATAAAAGATTCGACATAAATAAGAAGAAATCTCGATGCGGCTTAACGAACACTGGCCATTCCCGAGCGGATTCATCATCGAAGAGGAAATTCGTTTCGAGGAAACGTTCGTTCCTCTCCTTCGAGGAAAAATCGAAAAGAATCGCGTACACGCGCGAAAAAAAATAATGAAAAGAATCACGCACACGCACACCACGCACGCACGCACGCAGCCACATTACACACGATGCGTTTCTGTATCTACGCGTACGTAATTTCACACGTTACACACGTGCGCAAGCGCGGTTATTATTTAACGTTAAACTATCACGAGGTTTTTACTGGCACTCATTCTCTCCTCTTCTCTCCTGTGTCTCGCATATTTTCTCCCCCCCCCTCCCCTCCCCTCCCCTCCCCTCCCCTCCCTCCCCCTACCCCCACCCCTCCTCCTTGCCCACCCCTCCCCTCCCCTCCTTCTCGCGCACTGAGTGTACGCGAGAGTTGAAAGGCACCGGTTAAGGCAACACAATCGTACGTCTCTCTTGTTGCGAAACGATGTATCGAACCGATCTTCGGCCATCCCGTCAACGAACACCTGGCGAGGCCGAGGCCGGCTAATACCGTGCCGTAATTTTAGCGTCGATCCGATCGCCGATCGTAAAGTCATTCGTCGCGACGCGGCCGGTCACGTCCGCTCTTCCGAACTTCCTACCGTCGCTGTCCATCCATCACTCTCCTCTTCTCCTCCTGTCGCTCCCCGTCTCCGCCATTATTTTCCCATTATATCACAACGATATTCCCCGTCTTTTTTCACCCGCCTTCCTCCACAATATCCTCCTCCTCCTCCTCCTTCTCTACCTCCTCGGCGAAAAGCATGTATTTTCCATACTTCCACCATCGCGGCGGAGTTCCTCCTCGCGACGACCTTCCACTTGGCCATTCTCTCTCTCCAACGGAGAGAGAGTGAGTGAGAGAGAGAGAGAGAGAGAGGTAAGTCATCATCTCCTCGTGAAAGGAGACAACGATGCGGAGATTCTCCGCGCGGTGGAGAAGGAGGCTGGCACTCGTGGCAACGCCCTCGTAGCGACGATTCAACACCAACCGGCCCAGTTCCTGTCGAAAGCTGTCCTCAAGCTGGCCACGAGGGGTCACGTCTTTCTAGTGAGATCGAGGGGCGGCCCCGTTTCCTGAAGCAGCTCGTTGTCCTCGCTGTCCGTCGACCTCTCCTCTTCCGTGCTGCCGGCCGCGTCCACCACCTCCTGCCCATCGGTGCGGCCTGCCTTCATGCTCAGGTCGATCGGCTCGTCCTGCTCCGGGCCCAACGAGCGTAGAAACGCTATACTCTTGTCGTACGCCTCCATTTGACTCCTCTGGCACCCCCCGCCCACCTCTCTGCACTCGTCCCGCGTGCTTCGATTGTCGTCGTCCCGTTTCGGCGACGGTGTCGATCTGGGGCTCACGCTGTCGCTCGAGGAACTCGTCAAACTGGCTACCATCTGGGGGGCGCCGACCTGGTTCACGTATGGGACGATGAATCTCTGTTGGAACGGGAAGAACGGGGTGTTGAGCAGTTGCATGTGGGTCAGAGCCGGGTGGAAGAAAGGCGGGCCCCTCCACATGGGGAACCTGGACACTTCCGGCCTGAGCAATTCGTGGGGCGCTCTGACCAGATCCATCGGCCTGAGGAGAGGGTCCTGCGTAGCCCTGGTCGGGATGTCGGGCGCCCTCAACTGGGCGGGGATATCCTGGGGCCTGAGCTCGTCCCTTTTCGGGAACCTGTCCTGATGGTGCTGATGGTGGTGATGGTGGTAACTGTTCGCGGTAGTGGTGGTCGTGGTCACTATGCCCACGACACCGGTTGCGTTCGTTGTGCCCGGGTTCTCGTTATTATTGTTGTTATTGTTCGCCACGTCCAACGAACCGAACGCCTTCTCGTACGCGGATTTCGGGTCCTTGATGAGGCGCGTTTGCGCCTGGTGCGACTGTTCCTGGAGGAGGCAGTGGATTTTGAACCAGTTCGAGCGGCGTCCGTAGCGAGAGCCCGACTTCGACATACCCACCATCAGACACTTCCTAAGCCTGCACGCCTTGCACGCGGTGCGGTTCTTCTTGTTGATCACGCAAACGCCGCCGTTCTTGCATTCGGAGATGCTGCCTAGATTGTTGTACGTGCGCCCGAAGAACGACTGTGGAGCAGAGAAACGTTTTCGACGCGTGTTTCTTATATCGGTGGAATGTGTGATTTTTTTCTTTTTCTTTTTTTGCAGGAGAAGAGATATTGTAAGTCGGGTATTAAACCGGGGAAATATTTGACGGGAAAGTATTATTTATGGGCTATTATCCGTATTAAAACGTTGAAAGTAGAGTTTAAAACTGAGCACAATTTTCAACACAAATAGTTGAGTGTTTGGAATATCTTTGGAAAATGTGAAGTGGAGATATCAAAAATTCTTTTTCTTCCTTTCCCAAAAATTCGAATCGAATTTTTCACTAATTTTGTATTCTCTTTTTTTTTTTTAAAAAAAAAGGGGGGTACTCGATTGATATATTCGAGGATAGCTTCGATTTGTTCCCAAGCTTTTCTACGTTAACTCGAGAAGACCTTTGCAGGATAATCGAGTCGTACAGCTTAACAGAGGAAAGTACTGCCGGGGAAGAAATCAACGTTGAAAAATTACACGTTCAAAGACGAACCGTATACAATCAATCGGTTTTTACTAAAACACGAATTTGAACTTTCCTCAAGAAACGTGAAACCAGAGACCCGTGGGTCAACACGGACGGTACAGTGCCCGGTAATTGTAACGTGAGGATGATGCACGCGTTTGCACGCTTAAGGCTACAATTTTATTTGCATTCACAGTCTGTATGCACGTGTACACGTACCAAATGTGGAGGAGGAGAAATAAAGAGAGAAATAAAGGAAAGGGCTGAAGGATAGTGAGAGAAAGAGAGAGAGAGAGAGAGAAAGACATATGGGCACAAGACGCGAGAATATAAACGGCCATTGAATTTTTCCACCTTGCCTGATGATCTAAAGAGAGCAAAGGGTTCGCCTGGATACTGACCTTGCAACCTTCGCACGTGAAGGCCCCGAAGTGAAAACCCGCGGCCGGCTCTCCGCAGACCCTGCAGAGCTGATTCATCTGCAACAAAAAGATGCGACATGTGGTTACGCTTCGGCTAAGAAACCGAAGACGCTTAGAATGCAGCGGTGATCAAGCTCGCGCAATATGTGCCAATCATGGAAGCGTTTCTTGCTCGTCTCCAAAGATCTTCCATGCGTTTACCAAGAGGACGAGGAGGAGGAAGAAGGAAGCAGGAATGGAGAAGGAATAATAATTCCTCGTACTTGGACAAACGATACCGAATAAGAAAGATCCTATAAGATATCCATCATGCTCGTGCTATTTATTTTACCGGTGAGATGTCAAGAGACACCTATATGTCGGATTGCTCGTCCAACAACGTTCAATTAACTCTATAGGACGTTTTCGCGTCGAAAGGAACGATTAAAAACTCACTTGGACTAGTGTTTGTTGTAAAAATCGTTTTCGAATCGTTGGCGTACGTGCGAGAGTTGCTCTCAAGAGTTGAGAATCTTCGAGGAATCGTGCAACGAGTGGAAGGGATGCGCTCGAAAAGACGACGGAAGGCAAAAAAAGGGGGACCTTTTCTTGCCTTCTCTCGGGAGGATGCAAGAAGAGGCGAGGATTCGGTTGCGAGACCGTGTTCCTATTAAAACCTAGTTAGCCAGCCATTACTACGGGCTGCAGAACGCACAGGTTCGATCGTTGCGATCCAATGAGAAAGGATAACCGACACGGGAAAGGCGAAATCGTATCTGGACTGGAGGGAATGTGCACGCGATTCGAACGTGATTCGTGAAATGGAGTATCAGTTTTTTGAAGTTTCTTGTTCCTTCTAATTTTACATGGTGAAAAAGAAAACAAATATTTTAAATTGAAAGAAATTACACGTTTATCGCATATTGATGGCGAGAAAATGCAAGAGAAGAGAGGAAAAAAGTAATATCGTTGTTGGAAAAATTATTCCAACAATGATTCCAGTAACGAAGGGTGTATCGTATCCATTTCTCGATTTCGAAATGGAAATGCCATCATCGATAGTCGAAATAATATTACATCAGCTCACGATATAACCGAGGCCAGAGATCCTCCACCGGTGGATGTTTCGAAATATTTTTAGAATTCGATTTTTCTTCTCCTCTTGATCAACCAATCTCGTCCAATACACGTTTTTAGCAACGAGGCGATTCAGAGAAGACGTATCGTTTGACGTTTCGCTCGAAGGGATTTGATCATCTTTTGCTGCGGACACTTCGTAATTTGAGCGTGGAATGTAATGTGGTAATCGATTACACGTGGAAAGGTGTCTTGACGAACTGGACGAGGTGATCGATAGTAAACAAGGATTTAGAGGATCAGATTATGAAAGAAACTGACATGTTGTCTTACGCTCTGTGTTTACAATATTCGTGTGTTTACAATTCTCGAGTTTTTGTCATAAATAACGACTTTAAAGAGATAATACTATCGACTTGGATGGAAAATCATAAACGGCTATCAGGAAGGCAAGTCATATGCAGAGAAAGAGATTCGATTAAAAAATATTCAAACTGCAAACAGATTTCAATCTTTGGTCAATAGACGTATCGATTTTTAAAAAGTATCAACATTTTTTGTGTTATATTACATAAACTTTTAGCTAAAGATAAATTCACGTTCAACCGTTATATATTTAAATTTGCTAAAATAAAACTATATTTCGTCAAATAGAAGAAACAAAAGAGAGGAATACCAAATTTTAAATCTCAAATAAATCTCTAAAAATGCCTGTATAGTGAACGAAAAAAATTTCGATCTCTGTCTATTCCATTTCTACCAAGAGTCACGATATTTTTCCACCATATTCTTCCTCCTCAAAAAAAGTAAAAAATTACGATTCCAAACATCATCATTCCCTCCACACCGCTACCCTAATCTGCCGCAACGCCAATCGAGAATCCAACTCCTCTCTCGATCTCCTTGGATGAAAGTTCATTCCTTGGCCGCATATCAAAAATGATTTCCCGTTTCACCGAGTCCGCGTATCTGGGTGAGACTGCGGCTTCTTGTGGGAACGGCCTGCTAAAGCTGCTTTAAGGTAAAAAAGGTTAAACGTCCAACAGATGACGCGGCTGTGTCACCTCGGTTCTAATCCCTGCACTCCAACGGAACTAAATAATGTTCCTCGTCCTTCCCTTGATGGACTCTCTCTCTCTCTCTCTCTCTCTCTCTCTCTCTCTCTCTCCTC